TTTATGTTTTTTTGTTTTTGGAAAGTGCCGAATTCATGTAATTCAATGTAAGAAACGAATCATCCTTGCTTCTTTATAAAATTATAGTTAATGTGTCTTTATTTCCGAAAGCAAGAATATTATAATACAAACAATTATTTATGGATGAACATATCTTTTTGTGACATTGATTGATCATATTACCCTTCCATGATGTACTATTACTTCAAAACATTATACATACAAAATTATAAAATTGTTTAATAATGAATAACAAAAAAACTATAGCATATTCATGGTTCCTTATATAATTGTGATATCCTCTTTGTTGTTCATTTTCTTAGAATAATACAAGCTTGTTACATGCAACTTAACCTTTTAATTTATTTTCTATAAAAAAGTTTAGAGGTTATAGACTGACTTACATACTGTCGTGAGCAATGGTAATATAAATTAATATATTGTGCTTATTCTGAGCTTTTAAATTAAATACAAAACCCATATATCGAAATCTAATAGGACATATTAGGACTTTGTGCGGTAACGTTTCTTTTCTTATAGAATTAGTTAAACAAAATTAACATGAAGCTAACTATTTCCTTTAGTTTAAATTCTATATCAAGATATTTTTAATAATATTTATGTGGTTTTATAAAGATTTTGATCGTAATATGGGTGCATGCGCAACGCGCGTACCCTAAGACTAATATATTAAAAGCACGAAGGCCCTACGCGAAATGTCGTTCGCTTTTTTACCCTTTAAAAACTGATTCCATATTGGACAAGATTGTAATTTTAATTAGGAAATACCTTAAATCACCCCTAAACTTGGCTCAGATTATTAGTATCCTCCCCGAACTATGCCCGGTCTTAATTACCTCCCTCAACTTGGCCTTTTGAGGGTCATTACCCTCCTAGACGCTGATGTGGCAAAAAGTGTGGGTGCACTCACCTGCCACGTGGATTTTTTTGTCTCTGTGGTATTTTTTTTGAAAAATAAAATATTTTTTTTACCTTTTTAAGAATATTACTTTTTAGATAATTTTTTTTCCGAATACAATTTATAATAAAACTTGGGTATAACTATATTATTTAAGCTAAGTATTTTTATTTGGCCAAAATTAATAAAGTTTTAGTTAATATTTTTTTGAATGTGACCTGAAAATAAAGATTTGTACAATTGAAATAAATAATCAGTGCATCTAAAAAGTTATAAAAAATACATAGTTTGAAATTAATATTTTTGGCTATAATTTCTTATATAGCTCTAAATTATGGTGCTCTAAATTTTTCTTTTTTACAGATTTTACCTAAAAAGGTAAAATGCACAGTTGAAATAAATAGTCGTTGCATCAAAAGAAGAAATAAAAAAGAGTGTACAATTGCAAAAAATTACAAGTGCAATTGTACACTCTTTTTATTTTTTCTTTTGATGCAATGACTATTTATTTCAACTATGTATATTTTATAACTTTTAAGATGCCTTGACTATTTATTTCAATTGTATAAATCTTTATTTTCAAGTCAAATTCAAAAAAATATTAACTAAAACTTTATTATTTTTTGGCCAAACAAAAATATTTAGCCTAAATAATATAATTATATCTTTATTATAAATTTTATTCGAAAAAAATTATCTAAAAAAGTAATATTCTTAAAAAGATAAATTTTGTTTTTCAAAAAAATGCCACATTGATTGAAAAATCTACGTGGCAGGGAGTGCACCCACACTTTTTGTCACATCAGCGTCTAGGGGGGTAATGACCCTCAAAATGCCAAGTTAAGGAGGGTAATTAAGACCGAGGATAGTTCGGGGAGTATACTAATAATCTGAGCAAAGTTTAGGGGTGATTTAAGGTATTTTGCCTTTTAATAATTTTCCTAATGTTTAAGAATTCTAGATCAAATAATTTAGTTATTAAATTTTTTCTTATTTAAACCATATAAAAAGTCCTAATATTTAGAACTTTAAATGAATAATATTATTTTCCATATTTAATTTTTGTATAAGTTGTAAAAATGTGTACGACAGCAAATGTAGTACCAAACAAACTTTTATCATGGACAATACGTACGTAGTTTATACATATAATAGTGACTAATATTTTAAAAAGCTATTACTTTTTCAAAATCAACTAAAAATTTGTAAAGTAAGGAGAGAGAAAACCCACACCTCTCTCCACTCTCTAACCAAACATCACTGAAATGGCCACATCCCTACTCCCGGCAAAGGATCTATCCTCCAAAATCTTATTGGAACCACCGGACCCCCTATGGAAGCCACTCAAATTGAGATGGAAGAGGACATTCCTCAGAAAAATTCTTTCAAAGAGATCTTACTAGAAAGGAATCTGGTGTCCACCACTTTATATGAATTAACCCACTCTTCCCCCTGTTCGGATTAAATGCGGGAAATATTTTCATTCCTTTGTCAAAGGAAGACAAGATCAGGTTATACCTCCCCTGAAAATACTCTGTAATAGTGAAACTATTTGGGGGGGGGGGGGAATTTCCCCAGCCAGTTATTGCGAGCAAAGCTTGCACAACTTTGGAAACCCAGTGAATCACTAACACTAATCGACTTGAGATGGGATTTCTTCATCGTTATTTCAACCTTGAAGCAAGCATGAACAAAGTCCGGACTAAGGGACCTTAGTTTGTGACGGGACATTTTCTATCTATACAAAGATGGGAACCAAACTTTGTTCTAGCGGAATCCAAGCTAGCTCTTACAACAATTTGGATCAGACTCCCATAACTATAACAGAGTTTTATAATAGGGCAATCCTAGAGCAAGCGGGCAACAAGGTTGGCAAGCTTCTGGAAATAGATACATGTACCTCATCCACCCTTAGGGGAAGGTATGCTAGGATCTGTGTACAGGTTCCACTTGATATTCCAGTCACCATCGGCACTCACAATCAACCCATCCTATATGAGGGGGAAGGGATTCTTTGCAAGGGATGTGGGAGAATTGGCCATAAGCTACGTTACTGCTTATTCATCCCCAAGCCCAATGAAACTAATAGTCCAGTTAACCCAACTCCTACTACCACAAACGATGGTACAGTCCTAGGCGAAGACTCTCTGTGGCAGAAGGTCCCATTCACGCGAAATAAGAAGAAAATTCACAAGAGAAATCGCTTAACGGCTGGCCAGAGCAACATCGGAGCAACCCATGACCCAGGTAAAATGGTACAATGAAGCCACAAGTACGTTCCTCGACCTGGTAGCCACCACCACTAGCGGTGGTAGCCCTAAGGTACACGAGCAACTGGACCCAGGTGAACACTTGGGCTCTATGGGACGGGCTACGGAGAACCAAAAAGACTTGAGGCATATAAGGCCCAACTCTGATAAAGGCCCAGCTTTACAAGTGGACCAAGTTAAAATAATTGCAGCCCCACAAACCAAGCTTATTAGGCTGAAACGGCATCTGCCTAAGTCAGGCACAATCCCAAAAGATGTCACTTTGGGGAATATCTCCATCTCCAAAAATTCCAATACAACCGACAAAAATGGGATTAAGGATTCCATCCCCCCCCCCCCCTTTTGACTCTGCTCCCTTCAAATCGGGTACTCTTACACATAAAAAGAGTATTTCTTTTTTGAAAAGGGATCATTTGTCAGTACAATTCCACCCCAAAATGACCCACACGTTCACAAAAGGCCACTTTACTATGCATGCGCCTGCACCACACACAATCCACCTCAACTCTTCCCCGATCTTGCATCTTCCAGTAGAGGTAATCAAGTATATGTTACAAATCTAATGCCCAATACCATCAATGAGGTGATACTCCTTGTTAATCCCTCAAGATCAACTTTATATTAATTATCCAAAAGTCACTTTTTTTCTTTTATTACACAAAAATTATTTTATTATGATCTAGTTATCACTATAATCACTTTGACGGTTTGACCAGATTTTACAAACATTTACCTGAAAAATCTGTTATGCCCTTAATATTATAAATCCTCTCATTTATGTAATACCTTCTATATTATATACTATATAATATATTTTTACCTAGGTATTTTATTTATAATTAAATAACTTTAGATTATTTTATTTATTATTTTTATAATATATTCATACATTTAATTTTTCCATGGCACTCAATTTATTTAATCATATTCAGACACGAACATATTTTAAATATAATAATGATAAAAAAATTAATTTTTTAATATTGATTTAAAATAACAAGATATATTTGTTAACAATAAAAAATTTATAATCAATTTTTTAATAGTCAATAAAAATAAAGATTTGTTTAAAATGATAGTTTTTTATTGTCAATAAAAAATTTAAAAGAAGTTTCAAAAATATTTGTGTTTAATATTAAGTTTTTTTAAAGCTTTATTTGTTAATATTATTTATTTGAAATGTGTCATTTTGCAAAATGTGGGTATTTTATTTATTAAATTAAGGGGTATGGCTTGGCTGATAAATCAACGAGCTTTAATTTTTTAATTTTCATTAAACATATTTCATTAAGCATGATTAAGAACGTTGACTTGAGATTTGTTCGCGGTAATGTTACTGACAAATTTAATAATGCTACTTATATATCTTATAAATTAATATTAAGACCGTGTACAAATTTAATTGAATTAATCATTCGTATTGAATTAAATCCAATATCCTTAAAACTGCGTACAAATTTAATTGTTACTCATTTTTAGGGTAAACAAATAGCTAGGCCATATTATACTCAACATGGAATAATGAAAAATAATTCCTTAATACAAGAATTAGATTTCCTTCGGAAAGATGGTGATTTAGAGAATGCTCCTTATCAATGTTATACTAGAGCTTCGTGATAAAATATTCAACAACTTCAAAGGAAATTCATTAATTAATGCCGAAAATAAAGTACATAAAAGATGGACTACAGCTCGAACATGGAGAATCAGAATCCATTCCCTACGCACTTTTATTAATCAATCAAAACAAAATTCCTCAGACACCATATATTAGTATTATTATTACCTTCGACCATGCATATATAGGGCTATTAATCCGCTGAGAAGAAGATATGAAAACCAGGATCATGGTGGGTGAGACTTGAATCATCTAAAATGGAGTTGTTAACTCCTTGTACATTGCTGTTAATGAACAGTGTTGACTCTTCCATCTCCATTGCATTCATCTCACTTTGATCTTCCTTCTTCTTGTTTGACCCTTTAACATGAGTTTGGCCTTCTTCTTTGTTGCCTCCAACAGTTTGAGACTTACCTCCAAAGCCATTAGTATAAGATTTCTTGGTGGAATTAGGACTCAATACCATTATGGCCCCTTTGTTCTCACCAGTCAGCGTTACCAATCTCCTTGGCAATATTTTCAGTTCAGTAACTTTCTTATTATCAGTAGTAGCTTTCCCATTCATCTTAGAAGAATTTCCAGTGGCTTCTTGCCCCAGCATTAGTTTCTTAGTCTCTTCTACCAATGGTGCACGCTTGGGTTCTTTTTCTGGAGGTGGTGGACGAAATAGAGGCCTCGTTTCAGGGTACTGTTGTGGTGATTCCTTAAAAGGCTTGATAGTTCTTGTAGATAAGGTTGTGGTTGCAGTAGTAGAAGCAGTGACAGTGGTGGTTGGAGCTGTAGGTGTAGCAGTTTTAGGTGGTGATGCTACTGGTTTTGGGAATGGAGAAGTTGTCAATGAAGAGGAAGGTGGAGCGCGCGTCTTGGTTTCAGGGCTTCTTAAGGTGAAAGAAGAGGATGTGATTGGGAGAAATGTTGAAGTTGCTGCAGGAGAAGAAGGGACAGATGTTGCTGCTGGTATTGATTTTGCTGGAGAGGGAGGGGCAGTGGATGTTGTTGGGGATCTTGCAGCAGCAGTAGTAGTAATGCCAGGGAACAATGCTCTAGTAGGTGGTGGAGGAGATGTAACAGCAGGTGGTGGTGGTCGAATGGTTGGCCGAGGCTGAGGCGCTGGGGGCCTAAATGGCTGTGGAGCAGGAGCTCGAAGTGCTGGTGGCCGCGGTGTTGGAGCTGGAGCTGGTTGCAATTGGCGACCGAAAGGAGCCAACCTGAACCATGAAAATGGTCGTTGTTGGTTTGACATTCTAATACTAGTTCGTTAGGAACACACTAGTACACTACAGAACGCGCACTGCACTAATTTTTACCTTATCAAATGAAGAAACTAGAATGAGTTGGCTATTCAATTCTTTGGTGCACACTTAAATATATACAAGTCTATGACTGAGGATACTTGAGGAATTCACCGTGAAAAACGGGGACAAAAAGTTCCAAAATTAACAACAAAAAGGTAAAAAAAAAAAAGAGAGTAAGAAAAGCATCTGGTTCATTTTCAGGGTTTTGGTATCAAATCTTTGGTGCCTGCATTCATCAAGAAAACATCATATTCATATCCCCTTTTGTTAGTGGAAAAGAAGTTTTCAACTTCTCAATTTTCACTTTGATTGGCTTCTCAAAGACTCGGTAACAAACTTACCGCACAAACAACCGAGATGGTGGGGTAACAGAATTTTTAACAGTTTTGAGTCCTTGACAAGCCGTTTTCATAACAGATAGGAGCTGCAGAGTGAAATGCTCATATTCCCTGCGGAATCTCTGCCAGATAAAAAGGACAGTCGGTACACTAAACTCCCACTATGCGCACCGCAAGGGTCTATTGTATGCAGCATGCATGAGGCTGTTTTTACGACTCGAACTCGTGATCTCCTGGTCACATGACAACAACTTTACCCGTTACTCTAAGGTTCTACTGATGAAGTAAATGTTCGAATTGCGGCTTCTACATTACTGTCGATGCACACCCTGCACAAACCATCTATCATACGTAGAAAGCATATATATGGTCCTTTTAGCTGGAATCCTCTTTCCTTCTTAGTTCTTGCCTCAAGATTCATCTTTGGTTACAAGAATACAGACGTCATAAGTAAAAAGGGAAAAGCAACGAAGAATAACAAGTTACTGTATGTTGGACTTCAATAAGATTCTTGAAGTTGAAGTTCAACAAAAAGGGGTATTTTAATTTGGGGTGTCATTCACTTCAACCGTCTTTGTCTTGACTTTGCTTGCTGAATATGTGATGCTGTCTCTCTTTTCAAGAGGCTTCAACGGGGTTCTAAGTTGTAGCAAATTAGTTTTTACATATTCATCCGTCCATTCCTAGCTTTTTTTGCATCTGACACTAGTTGCCTTACTGGTACTTTGATCTATTCGAAGTAACAGTCAGATTCCTTATATATGCTTCTAAAATATGATGGTACTTTGATCTATTCGAAGTAACAGTCAGATTCCTTATATATGCTTCTAAAATATGATGGTACTTTGATCTATTCGAAGTAACAGTCAGATTCCTTATATATGCTTCTAAAATATGATGGTACTTTGATCTATTCGAAGTAACAGTCAGATTCCTTATATATGCTTCTAAAATATGATGCTGTCTCCCCCTTTCAACAATCAACAGAGGCGTGAGTTCTGGATTTTCGGATCACGACTTTATGTTTTAATGACTTGGTTCTAGATTTAATATTTATACATATTTCATGAATTCAAAATACCAAATACACTGTTTGAACAAAAGTTATTGGGTTTAGCTAAACCCAAGGCGGCTTTGTGCCTTAGCCCTCGCTTTCAAGGGGGTTCTAAGCTATAGCACGGCAGATTCTTTTCACCCGTACATTCTTACCATTTGTGTATTAAACACTTGATTATTTTCTTCCTAGTACTTTGGTCCATTAAAGTATTTTAGCTTAATGAAAGTATGCTGGTGGATCTTGGATTTATTAACTAGTTAAATCATTTCCAACTATCAAACAAATGTGCTGTTAAAACAACTCGAATATATGAATCCAGGTGCAAAGGATAAATGGTTTTCAACAAAAATAGGAGTCTAGTTTCGTGCTGCTGCTTATCACTTGATTGGATAGCTATAAACGACGAAGTCATGGCAATTTGCATTCTGATCTCTAACATGATCAAAACGATGCTCCATTTATGATTTGATTAAGGAAAAGCTGGCTAGATTTAACGCCATTTACAGTTTACAAACTACAGATATAACTCTGAAATCAACACAAGGTTTGTTCATAAAGCTGAAGGAATCTTGAATTGCAGCTGAGGCACCGCTAAAACCAATAATTCCAAAGTACTCTAATACCTGAGCAGAGAGAAATGCATACAAAATATTTCTGTCGTCAACCCCAACTAATTCTAAATTGATGCATAGTAGCTTGATTGATACAAGCATGCTCACACCATTAGTTTTGACCTGTATCTAAATGAATCATCCTTTATTTTTATTTTTCTTTATTTCTAGATAAATCTTCGAAAGGCCCATTACACCTGGTATAACCATTGCACCATACCGCAATAAGTACTCTCTTCTATTGTGAATACTTACATAAGAAAGCAGACAACTCAGCCTTCAAACGACGAACAAGTCAAGGCCAGCTGGTAAATTCGAATACTTTGAAGACAATGTCAATTCCAGTAGGGATTTGCCAAATGAAGAGGATAACGTTTAATGCGTTCAAAGCTATGTGCAGATTTCTAGCGGTTTCATTCCCCCTTTGCATTGCTGGTACAAGGGCTGCTGCTGCTGCCCACAGAATTGTAATCCCTGTTCCATCAAAGTTACAACAAATCAAGTCACTTACACAGACCAGTTAATGAACTTAAGATTAACTATCTAGACAATGTTGCACAACACCAAACCTACCAATCATCATGAAACAAAAAGACTAACAGAGGTTGAACACAAACATTACTAGTATTTTGGTTTGTATGCATTGACAGCAAGTTCGCACCAGTTGCAATTTGAGTACTAAAAACTTATACATGCTTGTGAGCTGTAAGACATGGTTATTATGGTATTACAACCGCGAACCGGTTCAGCAATGCAGGACCATATCATCACCAAATAACCATGTGTTACTTGATTAAAGTCACTGATAACAGATGGAATACGCCATATTTAAAAAGTCTTCTGTAAATTCAAAGCACTCTGTAAATATCTATAGAAGATTTAATGCTTCCTATAATATTTATTCAGGAGCCATAACTCACAAGTTCCCCGGATTATTGGTCTATTGATTCCACTTTAATTAAAAAACGCGTTTAAGCAGCAACTACAAAGTAGACAAGCTCAAGCTTCCTTCTTTCTAGCTCCATCAAATTTGAACTGGTGTAAGGAATTAGTAAGCCTCATGCTGTGAATATCATGCTATATATTGTAAGACTAGTCAAGCTATATAACCATCAACCTCTATTAAGAGTTTGAAATACTAACATAAAATAGAACTAGAAGTTTTCACTCTCTAACAATTTAAACTTTTAGATGATTGCAGTTCATACAATTAACATTTTGTCTGAGTGCATAGTGAACTGACTTTCGGATTCAAGCCTTTTTGCTAGCCATCAACAGAAATATTTCCCCGTATTTGACGCAAGAAATAAAATGAATAAGCTGCAAAAGTGTTCACTCTCTAACATCTTAATACAAATGAGGCGGTTCACATATTTCTTTCTATTTTTGGATAGGTAATGAGGCGGTTCACATATTTCTTTCTATTTTTGGATAGGTAATGAGGCAGTTTACATAATTCAACTACATGGATCAATAATTTAATATGAATAAAGTTGTCCAGAAATCTTAATGAATGAGGTTGAACTATAGTTGCCTTGAAATATATCATATGCTATGAATTGAGGTAAGTTGGAAAAGTTATCAAATGTTTGGAGGAAAATGAATGCAACATGCACGAAACTAGTAATGCGGTTATGGATAGTTCTCAAAGCCATAAGTAAGCTCTTAGCCTACTTCTACACCGCAGGGTAGCATTTAACTCGAAAACCATAGGGGTAAAGATACATAATATTACTATACTATAGTTGAATATAAGTATGGTTTCCACATGTATGAGGAATATTTAAGACCTTTTTTCTTCTTCTTTTTCCATAGAACTATTGCCCCTAATTATTACTACTAGTTTGTAATTATGGCGTAATGATACAATCTTCTAGTACTCACAAAAAGCGGAAGCAAGATAGGATGAAACGTATGACACTTTTGCGTAAATGTAAGTATAGACTAGGGACTTGAGAATATTGCGCAACTTTTTCTCTTTTTTCTTGTTTTTCTTTAATTGAATGACTCAGAATGCAACAGCTCAGAAATCATAAACTTGACCATTTATGATGCAAAATAGAATCAATCTACTTTGATATAGTTGTTCTTTTTCCCTTTGGTCAACAATTTGCTCAGATTAATAGGAGATGCGAACATTACCTGCCCCGGCAAATAAATGAGGCCCTGGAAATAACTTCCCAGTCCTAAACCAGGTATTCAC